AAATAAATAAATAAATCTTTAAAAAATATATTAAAAAAAATCTGATGAAAAACAGGTAAAACTCTAAAAAATACACTGATAAGAAACTGATAAATTTTTGTTCATATGTATGAGTCTCAAGTCAGTACAATTTATCTCAATCCATAAATAATGCTTGCTGTCCAGTAGACTATTCTGTGAAGATGTTCTGATTCTGTACTGTTCAATATGGTAGCCCTCATATTGATAAATGTGACTGTATGCTTGCAGGGTGGTTAGTGCAACTGAAAAATAAGAATTTCTTAATTCTACTTAAATAATCATATGACAAGCTTAGTGACTGTATTTACCAATCCCTGAGAAACCTGCAAATTACCCTTTTGTATTTGTAATTAAAGATGTTTTCTGTAAACTATTTGGCCTGAGAGGTAACACAGCATTTTAGTTTTCAGCATGATAAGTTTGAAAAAATCCTCTGATTAGATTTTAGATAAAACAGTTGAGCCACAACACAGAACATCAGTTATTTGGCAGTTAACTCTAATGAAGTAATTCACTTCGTGAGTGAAGTGCCCAAAGCCAGGACCCATGTATTACCCGATAAAGCTGCAGAGAAGACTTGAGACCAGTAAGATTGGACTTAGGTGGAGTCAAGTGGTCAGTGATGTCAGCCACATTATACAGCCAGAGGATCAGCTCTTCAAGTTGACAACAAAATGTCTGTGTGGGGAAAAACACGTTACTGCTGGAATGTTCCTTTACATTTTCAAAAGGCTAAAAAAAGATCCAGGGAATTTTGGGAAGCAGACTGTGCACCTTCAGCATTCTAGCTTGAGGCCTGAGTCTCCTCTCTTCCTGACCTCTGCCAGGAAAACATGAAGAGTCCCACTGCTCTCCTTGACAGGAGAGAAAACACCCATTTTTTATGTAAAGTTAAAAATACCAGCTGAGAAAAGCTACCCCTGCACATGGGACTACAGCAACTAAGGTGAGGGGCAGAAGGAAAAGCTCACATGTCTGCCATGGAAACAGTGCTTGAGTTGGCCCCACTGCCAACTACTGAGTTGTTCCTGGAAAAACCATGAACCTAAAATAACGGCTAAGATTGTGACTAGCCTAAACCAAGCTTGTGCATTCTCCCATCAGCCAGAGCTGGGCCCTGCCCGAGCTAGAAGGCTGCGCATCTAGACTGTACTGCAGGGCCGTAAGACTGACCCGTAGGGCAGTGCGGTGTAGGCTAAAGCATTCCTGGAATGCTGGTGTCTGGTGCTGGCTCAGACGCAGCCCTGAGGCTGCGGGGAGCGGTGTCTCCCACTCACCTGGGAGGCAGGCACAGGGACTCTGAATACGAGGGGAATCCTATTCCTCAGCCACCTTGTGTCAGCCCGCAAGGTGGACTATTGCATGCAATCCACACAACACCCCGAAGCGGCAACACTCCATGTGCAACATGGAGCAAACACAGAGAATGAGCCAAAACTCCAAAGACAACATGACTTAGGATCTGCTATGCTTGAAACTGACAACCAATTCCAGAGTATTAAATCTCCAGATATTTGTAGGTGACAAGAGCAGGTGTGGTGGCCAATAAGTCTAGAGAATGGCACATCTAATACTCTAGGCTCTGTAGTTACATTATCGAGCTGCACCTCTAAGAGCCCCAGCGTTAGAAAGCCACTTACCCCTGCTAAGCCCTAGGGCTCCAAGCACAGCAGCCCTTCTGCTGCAACCTCTTAATCCCAAGGCTAAAGCCTTGGGAAGCAGCCTGGGGTCGTGGTAAAAGTTCCCAGTCTCCAGCCCTTACTAGCTGGGTGACATCCTTTAGTTGCCTTTTTCTCCAAATGAGTGTAATCTTTATTAGGTAGAAACATGAGGACCAAACAAGATATAGTACAGGGTCTGGCACATAAAAATAAGTTACGTTAGTGGCAAAGCCCCCAGTGTTGGTTTACCTTCACACACTGCACGAGAGACTCTTTCCCCTGCTCTCCTCCAGCACCTGATTCCGAGAGTGCCCGCTGGGCCAACGCAGCTGGCAAGGAGGAGCATGTTCTCAGTGGTCCAGAGGAAAGCCCCAGGGTCTGACTGTTCACTAGACTCCTTTTCCCTGCAGAGCCCCCTGCATGGATGAAAGAGTGTAGCAAAGGGGGGTTCTGGTTGTCAGGGTCCCGGGACACTCTGAGTGCAGCCCCAGGGGGAAGCTGGCTTTGATTGGAGTCCGACGGGAGGGAAGCTGGCCCATCGCCGTCTGATAGATCCAGGGAACTCTGCCCTTCAGCCGCTCCAGGGGGAAAGGTCACCAAGGTAGGAACGGAACCTAGATATGAAACCAAACTAGAAACTTGCGTGAGTCGTGTGGGCAGAGCAAGATACTCCTCGTCACTTTCCATCTCTTCTGATTTCCATCTGGATTCTGTGTAGACAGTGGGCTGGACACACTGGCTGACCCCTCTCTCTCTTCCTGGTCTGGGTGAGGGCCACCCTCTGTTCCATTTCCTCAGCTGAGGAGAGTCCACCTGGAGGTGCTTGTCCACAGTCAGCCTGTCCTTCACACCCTTTGGGGCTGGCTCTCTGCTCTCCCTAGGGGTGCCTCTACGGCCTGCAGCTCTGGGGGTAGAGGTAAGCTGGCCACAAGATGCCAAGTCCCTGCTGCCCTGCTGGTGAGGTACTCTTGAGGGCCACTGCTTGAGACCCAACTCTCTAGGTGCAGAGAATGGCAGGGCAGTAGCCTCTGCTGGTGGGCAACTGTGGGAGACATTAGTGGGTGACTTTAGGGTGCTTGCTGGGGAGACAGAGAAGCTATCCAGGTCTACACCTGAGTCCTGCAGGATAGGATCAGCGAGCACATGGCTGTCAAGGTGCTTTGTGAGCTGAGGCTTGGGCCTCAGTGGGTAAGTATAGTCCAACAGGTCTTCATACTCTTTATTTGGGTTCCAGAGGGGAGAGTGGCGGTCAGGAGAAGGGGGCAGAGAATCTGGAAGAACACAGGCCCAGTACTCAGCCTGGAAGGAGAGGTGCCTCCTGCCCGGCCCTGGAACATCATCCTTAGAGGACACAGGCTGTGGTGACCACTGGAGCGGAGGCCCTGGTCCCACCACAGAGGGAGCTGACTGGGGAACAACCAGCTCCGAAGAGGAGAAGACCGTGGCAAGGGAGCAACCTTGAGTCTCCGCCTGCTCTTGGTGACGCTGGAGGCTGCTGCCCGGAGATGAGGCAGAGATGCTGCAGCTGGAAAACTGAGGTGCATTATTAGCACCTGGGCTCACCACAGACCTCCACCTCGATGGGAAAGAGAAACAGGAGATGCGAGCCTCTTGGCTGTGGTCTAGCACTTGCGGCGTCTCTACTGGGAATGGGTCATCTTCTGTATCAGCATCATCTCCTGGGCTAAGAGCTGTAGCTCTGCGAACAGTAAGAGTCTGAGATTGCTCCTCTGAAGCAGAAGTCCTGGTCTCTTCCATCTACAATAAGAAAAAGCACTTAGATGAAAAAAGACAAGCAAAATTCCTTTCTGAGATAACAAGTTTTCTTTAGTGGCCCAGGTGGTGTTCAGAAAAGCGGCTGAACTGAAATCAAGACTCAGATAGACTATGCTGCTAGTGCTCAGTACTGGCTCAGTCAGGTTCCCTCCTGCCCTCAGTCCTTTAAAAAGTTCTAACTCTACAGACACCTAGTGAGTGAGTGAGTAGATTAACTGTCACGCTGAAGCTTAGCCTTGAGAAGGGGTTCCTGAGCACATGAAATCTTGGTCATTCTGTTGCTGACAGGAGCTACATCCAAACTCAGCAAGCAGACAACCCTCCAGGCCTTCGACTGCCCAGCGGAACCAGTAGTTATGGGAATACTGACAAAAGGAGCTGTTCATTGCAGTCTCTTCACTCTGGATTTTTAACCTGCTTGATGGAGAACTCACCCCAGAGGGGGCAGGAGCATGGGGGTTAGGCACAGAGTTTGGGGCCAGTTGGGGCCTCACCCCAACTCCCTCTTCCACATATGACTGTGAGTTTCAATTCCCTCATCTGTAAAATGGGGAGAGTGGCAGTACCACTTCCCCAAGACACAAGAATTCAATTCAAGTGTGAAAAACACATGTTGACAGCTTCATAGCCATGTTGACAGATTCATATCCAGGAAACAGCCCATCTTGGTGTGTGCTTGGCTACTTACTGTCTCCCTGAGTCTCAGACTCACCAGTGCCCTCAGCTCCCTCTGCCCTGGCCCCCAGGCAGGTGGGCCACCCTTGTTCTCTCCCAATCTTGCTCAGAGCCTGCACAGAATGGGAGTTCAAGGACAGCACACAGTCAAAACCACACTCTTCCTATGAAAGGTCTCGGCAAGCAGAACATAGGAGGATGTCACGGCTGGGAGGGAGAGATCATTCAGGTCACCTTTCCTGAAAGATGTTGTGATTTGCTTGAGGTCACATGCCAGGCTGGACTCTGCTCCATGTGACTCCTAGTAGGCAAGGCTGCTCTGCTGTCAGGAGGGCCCAGGAAAATCTTGCCCAGAGACAGAGCTGCCCACCGAGACTCTGCCAGGCTTCCTGAAGTCCACAGTCCTGGACCTTCCCACAATCTCCTCAGAGTCCCTCTGGAGTCTTCAGACCATCAGGAACAGGGCATGAGTCCCCTGTCAGAGCTTTTCATGCCAAGCTCTCTGGCTTATGGCCAGTGTCTCTAGTCCTCAAGGTCACCTGTCACACTCTTGAGCAGGAGATGCTGTAGAAAGAGCCCCTGCTGGACCCACGGCCCAACTTTTCAGGTGAACCTGTAGAAGAGAAAACATCCCACCCAGGCTCCCTCCGCTTGCACACTGATCACGGACATAAGGATGGTGATAAAAGGTTGGAGCACACTCCTACAGAACAGCTGAGGCAGACCTACAAGCCCCCGTTTCAGTACCTACCTGGTTTTCCATAGAGTGCAGGTCTCCAGTCCCCGTACCAGCAGGAGGAAGCAGACAACCCAGCGCAGGCGGAGACCCACCAGCTACTGGCTCCTTGCAGAAGAGGTCAGCCTGTGGCTGGCAGGCCCCACGGGGGTCTCCAGGGCTGGCCCCACCGCAGCAGGCAGCGACATGTAGCTCTTCTGGCCCACACGCAGGGGAGGCAGGCCCTCCCTCAGCTTCCAGGCGGGGCAGCTGCTCACTGCTCACAGGACCTGTGTCCATCTCCTGCTCCCTGCAGCTCCATCTCCCACAGGGTGGGAGCTTTGTGTCCTTGGACGCCTCTACTGCCACCTCTGTTTTTTCTTCTCCCAAGGCCATTAAGATGTCCTTAGGTCAAGGCTCTGCAGAAATCTTCAGCCACCTATAAAACAAGAAAGGGAGAATGATCAATTGTTTTTGCCTGTGCCCTAGGAAACCTTTCTTTTAATGATGAAGTAAAAAGTTGGGGGGCAAGGAGCAAAAGAGAAAAAGGAACAAATGGTGGCTACTTCCTCAGAGAAAACGACAGAAACCAGTCTCTCCTTAGTCGCAAAGGAGATGCAGAAGCACATCATACTGTCTAGTCTTTAAGTGGCTGTTACAGTCCCAGCAGCAGGCCAGGAGGGCCAGTGCAGCTCCAAATCAGAGTCAAGGTACGGCTCTGCTTAAGTCACTACCCCCTGGCCTAGCCTAGCAGCCCCCACACAACTGCCCAAGGAAAAAAAAAAATCACCAAGCCTCTGCTGGGTCCAGGATGAACTCCAGTGCCTGGGGAAGGAGGGCCCAGACACAGAAACCACTCCAAGTAGTGGAGCAGGTGGGTGTGTCTCTTCCAACATGGCTCTGGCTCTCAAAACAGAGATCAATGACTCTCCTTGCACAGGCTTGGATTAAGCTTCACCTGATAACCGAGTGGAGTCAAGGACATTCAACTGGGTAACAATGGTAAGGGCCATGTAATGTGTGCGTGTGGCACTGAGAGACCAGTTAGCTGGCCCACAGGCAGGAAAGAATCAGGGTAAAACACTGAGGAAGGGAAGAAGAAATCTCCAATCTGAACCTGAAAACAATCATTCTATTAAGTTTCTGGGAACACAGGGGGACCCACGCCCTCGGCCTTAGTGTGCAGGCCAGGGAGCACTGCTGGGAGGGCCTGCGAGAGAACAACCCTGGAAAACTTGGAGTGCGAGCAAAGGAACGCTAGCTGGAGTGCGCGTGGCCAACCTCAAGCTTCAACCTGGGCAGGACTTATTTCCTCAGAGAGCAGGAGGCAGAGCAGTGTGGCAAGAGACGTGCTGTGTTGGGAGGAAAGCCTGAGAAGATACAGGAGGCCGTGAGTGTGGCTCATCAACTTGGCTCACGTGCTGGCAAATACGAATGGGCAGCACAGAAAATGAGAAGGTTCTTCCCTGCTCTGTGACAACAGAGAAGAGTACACACCACATGCATTCTCACAACCACCACGTGGGCAAGAGTTCATCAGAAAAAAAAAAACAAACAGGTTTTTGAACAGGTAACATATGATCTAAATTTAAAAATGCACTGGAGGGAGTCTCCCTCTACGCCTGTCCCACTCCTCACTGAGTCTGGTGCACCAAGGGTCACGTGTGTGTGTGACATAATCAGGGTTACAAGTGACAGGAATCCACCAGAGGGAGAAAAAGCAAAATGTTTACTACTAGATATTCCTGCTTAAGAGATAAAGCTCATAATTTTACATATACCTCTCACCTCTCGATGTAGACAAAACCATCTTTCAACTTTCCTCCCACGTTTACGTAAAGTAGCAAACTGTACAGCATATTGTTCAGAACCTTGCTCTCCTTTTTTAAACAAAACATAGTTTCTGGGCCCTCCCTGGTGACACAATGGGTTAAAGCACAGCACTGTGAAGCTGGCCACAGCTACTTCAGCTCAAGTTTGATCCCCAGCTATGGAGGTGACACACATGGTACAGCAGACCTCTCCTGACCCCCCCCCCCAGCAGTGTACTTTGTCTGTCTGCCTGTTCTCTGTCTCTGGTGAGTCCTCTCATGGCTACTGCACCTCTGGCCTGTACCCCAATTCTGTGTGCATAAACAAATCTTAAAAAACAAAACATGGTTTTTTACTTTTCTCAATCACTGCCTAGTACTGCATTCCATTATAAGGATGCTTTCTAGTTTATTCCACCAGTTCCTTGTTAGTGGGTATTTGGGGGACAGTTCCAGGTTTTTTTTTACTGTCATAAACAATGCTAAGCTGAGCACACACATCACTTACTTGCATGCACACCCCATCACAGCTATCGGTGTGCACAGCAGGGCACCCACATATGATTTCTGCCACATGAACAAGTGATGCCCCCTAAGGTGGCATCAGTGTACACCTCCACTAGCAACACTGGGCAGGCCGCATGGGAGGCAAGCCCTCTTATCCTCATATTTCACAAAGGGAGTAAAGGCTCAGGAAGATTCAAATCTTGACTGTGTCACTCCAGAACACAAGCTTCCATGAACCAATGAGGGAACAAGTTACAAAACAGAAAGCACCTAGAAGGCAAGAGAGTGGTGGCAGAAACAAGTTCTACTGAGACATATGTTCATGGAGCCACATCCTCGCCTGTGCACATGGAGACTTACAAGTTAATTGTGTTTCCAAAATGTCAGGCCTACGCTCAGCCCATCGGCTAGATAAATTAGGGTGAAGAATGATTCTAGACTGGTGTTTCCAATTTCTAATTTCTGCTTCATTCTGAAAAACTCAATGGCCCGAGTAGGACTCTTTCTTTTCGTTTTGTCTGGGTTTCATTACTCCCCTCCTGGGGGAGGGGCACAGAAAGTGGTGAGCTAGCATAATCAGCTATTCACCTCCATGAGGAGATACTTCTAGGCAACTTTCAAGTATACACACAGAATGGATGAGTTAACAGTGTTGTTGCCAGAGGCCCTTCAGCAACCAGGTAGAAGGTCTAAAATTCTGTAATTTGCATGGAGTGGTAATACTGGAAACAGGGCTCAGAGGTGGTTTTCTCATGCTGCATAAGTGGTCCTTTCATAATCTTATTTATAACTCTACCTGAAAATTCATGTATCTTTTTCTGTTCTACAAATTTATTACAAGAATTAATACAGACGAATGTGAAAGAGTAAAATAAGCCCTGAGGAGTGAAATTTCTGTTGCTGCTGTTTGGGGGCAAACAACTAAGGCCTGATAGGAACAGGACTCCTAAAACATGGTTGCAAGGCTGTGCATTTTTGCTGGCTGCAGGCAGGGTCTCCAGAACCAGGGAGAGCATGATGCAGTTCTTTTCAAAACTAAAGGTGTTTCTGCTGGAGATGAAACTGAATTCTGTCACGGCAGATGTGCAAGGAACAACACAGCGACTCCTGGTGGCAGAATGAATAAAACTCATCTGAACTAAGTTTGTGGTTTGGTTCAAGACAAATTTTGAAGTCATCTTCCTGCTAATGCCTCTGGACACAGAATCCATGTGATGCTGTAGTACCCCTCAAGGATTTAAACTTATTGAAAAGCCAATAAATAAAAGTGAATTTGTTCTTTTTGGGGGGGGAAGACACAAGTCCGTTAAGAGTTCATTCTAAAACCTTTGTAAGATATTACAGACTACCACAAAAGAAAGATATATCAACAAAAAACAATCAAGGAAAACTCCTTCCAGGAATAACGGTTGAAAGCAAACCATCTTTAAAACAACAATCAAGATATTTTAAATTAACGATGAAGAAAAACATAGTAAATGTGGCTGCCTGACATTTGTAGGGCTCCACTCCTGACTCTCTGGGAGGTGAGGGTAGATGCAAAGAGGTTACAGTTAGTCAAGGCAGCCAACGGACTGACTGCTCACACTATGAAAATGACTAGCTATGTTGAACAACCAACGCCATCTCCCAGATCAGCAGCTTTAAACAACCTGCCACTCTTATGTTGGATCTCCCTGCGTTCAGATTACACATTTTACAGTATTACTGGAAGCCAGCAGCTCCCTGATGGGCAGAGGCCTCAGAGCACAGACAATGCACAATGAATTCAACTCACTTATCTGAGGAAGTCTGTACGTATGAGAACTGCCCTATCCTTGGCCAAACCAAGAGACATGAGTCACATAAGCTTTGGGATATTCAAGAGACCACTTGGATTTTACTATTAAAATTTTTTGTTTTCAGGATCTGTGAATGCCTTATGACCTATTGGATATAAATAGGAGTGATGAAGGCTTGGCTTACTCTTACCCGACAGTAAAAATATGCTCCCATATTACGTATGTGTAACACTAACTCCTGAGCCTGTACATGTGATCATTCTTGGTATCTGCAGCACCACCCTCGCACAGTCCCACCACAGCTGCCAGGCTTCCTTCCACTCCCTCCTATCCAGGATGGAGAGAGGATTGGGATTTTGGGGGGGAGGAGGGGGGTAGGGAAGAGGGAGGAAAGGTGTTTCTGTCTTAACCAATTTATTCAAATATACAAACGATTCACCTACGCAGCAATACTCACTCCTCTGATCCAAAAAAGGACTTTCCCCAGGGCTCTTGAAATCGTAAGTACCCAAAACAATCTGCTTCATACCAACACTGCCTGGGGAAGCGCTATTCTGACATGGCCTACACTGTACCCAGTATACAGAGAGCCACTTGTACTGGACACACAGGCCAGGTGCTGCTGCCAGCGCAAGCCCTATCAGTTCAGAGGCCAAAGTCTTGGAACTCCTTGTTTTCATAGGAGCCCACAGGTCTAAGTGGTAAATGCCATGTGCCCCCAAGGGCAGAATCTAGTCAGAGAACCAGACAACGAGGCTCTCAGTGGCACTCTTTCTCAAAAACTGCCCACAAGCAAAGGGGATGAAGTAGGGTAGGGCCCAAGACTGTCAGGCCAGTGGAAGGCTTCTGGGGGAACTAACTTTGTGGAGAACAGAGCTTAAAGGCAGCAGCCAGTTCAGGCATGGGTGGCAGTGTGATAAGGGAGTACAGACCTAAGTGGGGGAGGCCCACAAAAGGGGCACTCACAGCCTCTCACTGCCTCAGAGCAGAGAGGGTGCCAAGAATGCTGTGGCTGGAGGCTAGACTCAGAGGCCAATCTGAGCAACTGATGTTCCACCTGTTCCTTCCCTGGCAGCAGGAGGGCCAAGAGATCCTTAGTCCTCCCCTTCGGCCCCGACTTTTCGGTTGAGACAGGTCACCTTAAGTGCTGTGTCTCCTTCCTCTGCAGGTGAAAGCAAAGTGGAAAGGAAATAGGTTAAGCTACAGAGGGGTATAAGCACATGTCCCAGGCTTAGCAATGGGTTGATGTTACTGCTAGGTTTCTCAAGTATAGCAGCTGCTCTCCTTTCCCTGCCACAACTGCTTCCCTAAGTTTTGAGTCACACAAGTCCCAGAGGGCCGAGGAGGAGCCACTGAGTTCCTCTATGTCAACACGGTGGTAGGGCTGAGGCAGGGTCTCATAACTCATGTGAGATCTTCAGATGGCCTGCTGAGGTACAACTGCCACATCTACAAGGAGCCTGGCCAGACTTCTGTCACCTCCTGCCCTAAGCCCCAACCTACCCAGTTTCCTCTGCAATCAGCAGAGTGTCCCTATCCAGCAAGGCTCAAAGTATGAGGATGCTGAGGACTGAAGATGTTAATCAACTATACCCTGTATACTCACCAAAGAGCAAAGTAGATAAACAGCTCTAGGAGAACAAAAATCACCCTCACAGTTTGAGGTCACATGGTTGTAGTTCCACAAAGTCCTTGCTTTTACTGTTCTGGCATCTTTCTCTGACGCTGTCAGGCTATGCATAGAAGACCAGTAAGAAGCTGATTTCGGCCCTCCCTGATGGCGCAGCGGGTTAAAGCACAGCACTAAGAAGCTTAAGCCACTTCCGCATGAGTTCGATCCCTGCCTGCCCCGGAGGAGATCCACATGGCAAGGCAGACCTCTCCTGCCGGCCCGCTGCTCCCCTCAGCAGTGTACTTCGTCGATCTGCCTGTTCTGCTCCCCACTCTGTTTCTGGTGAATCCTCTCACCCTCCACATCTCTGGCCTGTACCCCAGTTCTGTATGAATAAGTAAATAAATCTTAAAAAAAAAAAAAAAAAAAAAAAAAAAAAAAAAAAAAAAAAAAAAAAAAAAAAAAAAAAAGAAGCTGATTTCCTCTGGCGATGCTATTAGGAATGTCACTCACTGAACCAAAGCATCCTTGGAGGACCCATGGGAAAAGATGTCTGACATCAGTAATGCAGTTATTTCACTGAGCAGTCAGTGTGTTACTACCTTAAAGGTGATGGGGAAACCAATACAAATTTTCCTCTTTGCTTTGGCTGCAAGAAAGTTCAGGCTAAAATCTGCAATCTCGGCAAAGTAAAATGCACTGGAGAGGTTAAGTTTATTTTGTGTACTCATCTTGCTCTTGAATTCCTCTTCTCTATCTAAGTCTATCTACACAAATTGTTTTTATTAAAAATTCTGTTAAACCAAAGTATCTTGGAAAAATTTCTCAAATATTTTTTTAAATTAAACCTTTAAATTTTCTTACATCATTGTTCATTTTTGTACAGTACTTGATTTCTCCCCTCAGGTGTAGTCCCTGTGTGTCTCCCATCACCATATCAATAGGGAAAGGTCACCGTAGTCCCTGGTGCTCTTCCCTTCCCTGCTTTGATTCTTCCCCTCACCCCCACCTGCTGTATGCCTCACATCTGTAATTTGCCAGCAAGTTTTGTTTTAAATCATTTTCTGGAACCAAATAGAGAAGTTATTAAGAAAAGAATAAGACAAATTTTCAAAAGCTCTGAAAATCTAAAATTTTACCTCAATACAATACCTCAAGCAAAGAAGAAAATTTTTATTGGTTTCCCCCTCAAAGCAAACTCAAATACTTATGTTAGTACCTTTCTAATCAACAGTGCTACAACCAGCATCACCTCAGAGCTTGCTGTGAATGCAGGTTCTCAGGTTCTGCCCCAGAGCCTAGGAATCAGAATCTGCATTTTACAAATGCTTATCAGTCACTGGGAGAACACTATAATGCTTCAGGAACACCAGGTTACTCAGTAAGCCTGTTTCCGTACCCTGGCCAAAAAACAACTACACGGTTTTACAGCCACTCACTGAGTGCCCATCTTAAGCCAGGTGCATAGGAGAAGCAAAGTTAGGGCCTTTGTCCTTCAGGCCATTGCAACAGGACACTATAAAGAGCTCACACTTTGCAGCAGGTTTTTAATGGCTAATTATAGAACAAACAGTATTCCCTAGTAGGGATTCATTGTGGCTACACTAAAAGCAGCATCAGAGGCCAGAAGTTCCATGATTGCTCTAAGTGTAAAGGGCAAAGGTACTTGTTTTGGAGACTGCACACAACTTAAAAGAAACCAGCATAGTTAGGGGACCTATAGCTGAAAGGAACTATGCAACTTGGGCTGTTTCCTGTGACCAGAGAGTGGTACAGGAAAACCTGGAAGTGAGGCAATATCCTGTAGGGGTTGTATCTGCTACCTGTAGGTCTGGCAAACAAGTCGAAACCCAACAAGAAGACTTCTTTTCACAATGTTTGTGAACAACTCTAAAGATGGAATATTTCTTTAGAACAGAATTAAGTCATAAGAGATCTGCCTCTCTCTAGCAAAACCAACCATCTTGATTTCTTGTCAGCCCCATCAGCTCCATGTGCTTCATTCCTCTAGTCTTATATGATTTCAAGTATCAGTCCACAGCAAGAGTGTACTCAACACTGCAATACCTGACTACATGGACGTTTGGCACGTTAGTCGGGGGTGTCCAGGCTCTAAATGCATACATAGTTAATTTCTTATGGAATGCTTTTACTGTGTGTGGAGGGGGAGTTAGGAAAGGCTAAGGGTTAATTAAATAGAGGAACAGATAAAAAACAAAAGACAGATGCTCAAGGGTCCAGTACCATAGGAATATTTAGTGTGAAACATTTAGTGAATCTGTTCAAGTATCTTTTTATTTTTATCCTAACAACTGTTAACAGCTACTCAAGTATTTTTGCAGGAATTATGCTAACCATGTTGTATCAACATTATATTTAATGCTCAGAACCCATGGAGTAGTTACTACTCTAACTTCCATGTTACAGGTGAGGACACTGGGGACGCAGAAGTGAAATGGCTCCTCTCAAGTTAGTAACATGGCAAAGCTCATCAGGTAAGATTTTTACTTAAGAGAGCTGGAGCTCAACTACCCTAGCTGTAAGAATAACTAGTCCTAGGAGGGAAAAGAATCCACGTTTTTGCTTTGTCAACTTTTGGCTACCCTACTTTTACTTTATTTTGGCTTCCTTCAATCACTGAGTGCCTTCAATGTTTCAAGCACTGTGCTAGGGACTGCGAAACCCACAACACATATCGTCTGCTATACAAAAACAGATTTTTAGTTGGGGGTTTGGGGAAAGCACTTTAAAAAGCTTCCCCGAAGTAGAATTCTTCGCCGAGTTCCTCAACTTGACCCAGCTGATGGAGGGGACAGGATGAAAATAGTCATCTCTACTTTTAATCAAATCCTAGGCTGACAGACCCCATACACTCATGCATTTCAACCACACCCTTCACCCCCTAGATGTAGGAACTATTAGGCAATCTATGCATGCTGCCAATCCTCGTGCCCGCCCCTCCTCCTAGTGAGTTCCCAGTGAGGTCCAATCTGGTCTGGCCACTGGTAGGTTCCCCCTCATTTTTATTACAAACACCAGAAGGAGCCCAACCAGATAATTACTAAGGACCTGAAACAGGTTTTAAACATGTACCTCCAGGCTGCTAGGAACTGTTCTAGGGACGACAGAGGGAAAGGGTGGCCCTTGTAGGCAAAAAGGTATCTTGCTTTCCCCTCGGCACCCGGGGGCGACAAACAGCTTCTCTAGGCTCCATCTTTCCAGTGGGAACGACTCCGAATTGGTGACAGAGTCTCGGACTGGGGTGACTAGGGCGCAGCGCGAGCCCCTCACTGTCGGGGGCACTGGGGCTTCGCCGAAGACATAGGGTGAACAGGACACGCCGGCGGGCGGGCGGGGGAGCTCCCCCAGGGGCCAGGGAGAGGCCGCCCCGCGGCTCAGCTGCTCGGGCCTCGAGTTGCGTGACGCGCGCAGCCCTGGCCCGGCCCCGCTGCGCTCAGGCTTTCCCATCCCCGGCCTCCCACCCCCTCTTCCAGGCCGCGACCCGCACCCACCACGCCGCCCGCAAAATGGAGGCAAAAACTCGACGCGCCCCCGCCTCCGGGAAGCCTTTTTGCCCCTTCCGGCCGAGGGCGCGAGGTCCGGCCGCCCGCACCGCCCCGTCCCGCAGCCCGGGAGACCTCAGGCCAGAGGGGACTGGCACGCGCGGGCAGCGCCGCTCCACCCGGCGCTACGAACCACCGCCACCTCGCCCCAGCCGCCACCTACCGCGTCTCGAACGCCTGGAAAGCGTCGACCCGGCCTGCGCGACCCGGCCGGCGTTCCCGACAGCCCCGTGCGGCGGCCCCGGCGGGGGTCCCGGGCGGCGACCGCAGCCTCCACTGCCAGCCCCAAACGCTCGGGGCGGGGCCCAGCGTCGGCCACGCCCCTTAGGGAAGCCTTTCCTTCGCGCGAGGGCGCCTTTAGTGTGACACGGCCAACCCCAGGTCTTAGTCCATTGGCCCGACCAATAGTTAGCCCGCTCCTTCAAGGAGGGCACGCCCCCTGCGCTCTCATGACCAATGGAAAGCTGTGTTTCGCCAGCGGCTGTCCCAGCCTTCCGCGCTCTCGGCTAGGGTTACCCGGTTCAGGGCTAGCGGGGTCGTGCAAGGGCGCGTCTTCCCCAGGCGGCGCGGAGGCGTAGGGGCAGGGTTCGGACAGGGGCTGGTAGGCACTGGAGGTCGCTCTTTCCTTGCGTGTCTATGGCACCGTGAGTCACCTTCATTCACTTGCTCTGTTCAGAGTGCGCGGCTGTGCTCCTGGGGGCGGACCCACAGTCTCTGCATTTGCATTCGCATCTAAACAACCTGCTGTCACCGTGCCTCGAATTGATGCCACCGTTTGCAGGCGTCGGAAGAGGGCCATGTCCCCAGGCTGGTGTGGGGGGCGGGGGAAGGGGGGCGGTGAGGAGGGGGGTGGGAACTTATGTAGCTTCTGAAAGACTGTGAAGGGTGTGAGACCGGAGCTACTTAACAGCCTAGTGTGATGGGCTATACCAGAGCCAGCCTCTGGAAGGCCATGATGTAAATCACCTTCCACCCCCACTCCATCCTCTTACTTCAGCAGACTCTGTGGCCTAGGGAGCTAATGACCGCTCTTTGACATTTACTGCTTAGCAGAACCCTGGGTTATTGCGAACTACTCCCAGAATGGGGTAGCCAAGGGGTTACCTCCTAGCCCATGTCAAACCTGTTCCTCTTTTCTGATCTCCCCAACAGCGTTTTCACTTGTCTGGCTTCCACTGAATGTCCCAGCATAAAACATGAAACATATCTGTAAATGTCTAATCCCTGCTGTGGGTCCTTTCCCATGGAGCTTCTGAACCCAAAAGATTGGGTTGGGTTTTCCTAAACCTGTCATGCTAGCTAAAGACCCAGGAGTCACAACCTTTGACAGCAGGAGAAATTTGCCCACACGTGGTTTTGTTTGGGAAGGTCATTGGCTCTATTTGCTTTTGTTTTTAAAATAAAAATGTTAATCCCAGAGGCATTTTGACATTTTGTGGGGGCGGAGTGGGGAATGGGATCAAAAACAGTGGGGGGGGGTGAGGGAAATATATTACACTATAATAATGGCACATGGATGATTTGGTGATGGGAAGCCCAAGGGGGTTGCAACTGAGATGGAAAAATAAACTATTATATTATAATAAATAAATAAAAATGTTAATCCCACAAGCACCACTGTGTATTAAATAACAGCCACTTACACATCTGCCACCTGCCTGACATCTGAAGGTATTTTTGTTTAAGCTCCTTGGTCTATCTGGGGGAACTCATCTAATCCTATCACAAGCTGAGACTTGGGGGTTTTGCAGCCAAGAAACCTAGCTGGACAGAGAACAGAGTTGTGTGAAGTTCAGGCACCAGCCAAACCTAGGCATACAGAAAGAGCAGCTGCCCCAAGCAGAAGCAGATATTCGGGAGTGAGAACCTCATGACCTGTTTGTCACCACCTTGTTTGTCACCACCGGTTAACGCAAGCCAGGGCAGAAAAATAAGTTCCAGTTCCTTATCAAGATTTTCCACCTGGCCATTTTCCTCCCCAACCTAGACCTATGAAAACCCCTCTTACCATTCCTCAGTATGACTTCTCTGACCTCCACTCTCTCTAGGGTCAGTGAAACTCCCCCAGAGGGCAGAAACAAACCTACTTTTGTTTTTACTGGCCTGGCTATCTCTGCGTCCTCCTGACTGTGCCAAACCTTTCAGGTTGAATCCACATAACCAAATCAAGTAGGAAAAACAAGGCACCAAATCCAAGTGAAGGGAACTTGAAAAAATAATCTAGGCCAAATGAACAAGGCTTGGAAAACCCTAGGAGATTATGGGTGGTGGAATTTGAGGTGAAGAATCATTCTGAAGTTAGCAAAAAACAAAAACAAAACTGTCAGGTTCCAGGTGCAAACCTGGTGCCTTTATCAAGACCACTTGATCTCAACCAGATGTGCACTTGTCCTTTTAATCAGCATTCTGTACCTTTCCACCACCTTTGTCATTTTCTGCCGTGGGTCCCTCATCTATAAGAAGGGATAGATAGGATGGGTGACTACTGACTACTTTTGTTGGGGGAAAGGATGTCCTGAACCAACTCCATAAACTTTTATGGACTCCATCTCCACCCCAAGCCAAAGAGATCCAGGGTACCAAGGACTACAAACTCCTTAATGTCATTACCACCACAGGGAAGATTGCTGGGAACTGAGGGTGAAGTTAAGCTGCCAGGCCTGGTTTATATTCAGACAGGTGGGCTTTGGGGGGCTGCGTTTTCACCAGCCTTCAGCGTGCTATTGGAGTTCCAGCTCCATGGAACTGGTAGTGTTACAGGGCACCCCAATGTGAATTGGGTTGCCTGTCTGTGGGTCTTTACCCGTGCGCTTACAATTCAATCGTATTATGGACACACTCAAAAGGTTAAATAATGGATTTATTTGTAAGGAGAAAGGTAAAGGAATAACCCAGGAAAAGAGGGAGAGAAACACAGGTTAAC